GCTGTTTGTTCGGCTCTGTTCGGCTGTTTGTTCAGCTCTGGTCGGCTGTTTGCTCGGCTCTGGTCGGCTGTTAAATTGACTTTGTTAGTCTTGTAGCTGTGGCGGCCATCTTGTGAGGGTGAACTGGTTGCACATGTACCAGATTACTTCCAGTGGTGCACCAGTTATTTTGCTAACAGACGAGCACAGGCAGCAACAGGATGATGTTTGATCATGAAGCTTTAATGAACCCGTAAATGTAGAGGAACGTCTGATGAACACTTCGGCTGTGGACTCGTCACAGTCTGAGTGAAACTGGGTGTGGTAGTGGTTGACAGTTGTTGCGGGAGCTCGTGTGAATCTTCACTTTAAATTTGAGCTGAAATGAGGAAACATCTGAAGACGTTCGAGTGCGGCGAGATGCGTTCCTTCGAGGACAAGATGTAGCTAAATGTTTTTCTGCAGGAGTGATGCATCGTGAGCAGAACGCGCCGCGACACTCGTTATTAACGATGTTTCTGTCGAGGCCGACGTCCTCGTTTCTGTTCGCACACAAGTAATCTGATTACACTCTGTGGAGAAGAACTGGTGCACACTGGTTTGGCTTCTGAAAATATATTCCAGCATGTGCTTAAAAAGACCAGTTTACTAAAAAAACGATTTAATTTAAAATTTAACTTTGAATGATTCTGTTGTAGAAACGTTAAAGACTGAACCTCATCATTTAAAGAAATTCAACATAAATATTTTATTTACTCGCAGCTGAAAGACCAAAGTGGACGATACTGTTTGTGACTGTGTGTGTTAGCAAAATATTTCATAAGCCATGACCGATTTAATTGATTCGGTCAAAGCTGCGTTCAGACAAACATCTAAAAATAAACGATGACGTTTGTTCGTGAACCTGATTCAAGATGGCTGCCGTGATGTGATCCGTCAGTTTCATCGTGTTGAAAATAAACCACAGAGGAGGATTCTGGGAAATGAAGGCAGATGATTAATTTAAATTTTCTGCTATGAGATTCTTTTTTCTTAGCTTATAGTCTGATTTAAAAAAAATGCCAGCTAAAGGCTAAATAACACAAAGGCTAAGTAAAGCTAGCACAAAGCTAAAAGAAAACTAAAAGCAGCAGAACGGTAGCTTAAAAGCATTAAATAGCAAAAGGCTAGTTTAAAGTGAAAAGTAGCAAAAGACTAGCAAGATGGCTGCTGGCAGCTGAAAGAGCCACAAAGCTAGCTAAACTTCGTGAAGGTTAGTGAAAGGCTAAAAGTAGCATAATTCTAGCTAAAAGCTAAAAGTGACAAATCACTAGATTAAATCTTGGGTTTACAAAATGTTAGCTAAATGTTAAATATAACAAACACTTAACAGATGACTGTAACAAAACCACAGCTAAATGCCCCCCCCCCCCCCCCAAAAAAAAGGCTAAAAGTAGCATAATAGTAGCTAAAAGCCTAAAACAAACTGTTGATGATTTCAAAGATTTTACTTTTTATACATCTGAAAAGATCTCAGTGGATTATTTTGGTAAAACTCTTCGTGAATAAAATGTAACTTTCTGCGAAGCTGCAAAAACTAAAACAGCCGAACGAGCCGAAGGGTTGGATTTATGAACGGCTAAAGCAGCGCAAGGTACGCAGGAAGTCGAGGACAAAAACTAAAGAGCCGGAGACGACCTCCCTCTGACTGAAGGAGTTCCTCCTGCTCTTCATCTCTGACCTGATCTCCTCCTCCTCCTCCTCCTCCTCCTCCTCCTCCTCCTCCTCCTCCTCCTCCTCCTCCTCCTCCTCCTCCTCCTCCTCAGATTAGAGTGATGTTATGCTCCAGATAATCAGCGCAGGGATTAGTGTCATCTGAACGACCCTCTAGATTAATCTGCTACCACACACTCCACTGTCCACACAGTGTGTGTGTGTGTGTGTTCAGGTTGACCTTGATCTTTTGTTCGTGGTGTGTGTGACGGCAGCTTTCATGTGTCCGTATGATTATGATGGTGTGTGTGTGTGTGTGTGTGTGTGTGTAGGTTGTGTCTTTCATGTGTGACTCAGTGGTTTGACACTACGAGTCTGTGAATACCTGTGTGCAGAGCAGGTGCAACACACACACACACACACACACACACACACACAGTAACCGTCGCCTCCACTCAACGAGCTCCTCGGTGGTTTCAGGTGAACTCCGATCTGATAAAAAACACAAACTCTTGAGTTTCAGCTCTGAGTCTGAGGACGACTCTCGGCTACTACCACGCCTCGTCTTAGCTCCGTTTCTGTGCAACTGACGGAGAACCACGGCAGAACTTTTACTGACCGCTTTAAGGTTTATTTTCTGCTCCGTTTCTCTCTACCCATCAGGAGCTGACAGGTGTGTGGTTACCATGGTGACAGACAGGTGTGCAGTTACTATGGTGACAGACAGGTGTGCAGTTACTATGGTGACACAGGTGTGTGGTTTCCATGGTGACAGGCAGGTGTGCGGTTACCATGGCAACTCGAACGCCGTCAGCAGCTGCAACGTTTCCTTTGATCTCGGTCCTCTGCAGTTTGAACCTGAAAACGTCGCCCCGTGTATCTGGTATGAATCTTTGCTTCTGGTGGTCTGGACCCCCCTCCACCACCACCACCTCCTGCTGTTCCCGTCTAAAAGCAGTGAGTCAGCCGTCTGTCTCACCTCGGAGTGACCTTATTAATGAGCGTTGAGCCACGAGGCTGGACCCCCCCTGAGGAGGTCACATCTGGACACTTTGTTTCTGCAGAGTCCATTTTGTTTCAGCTCCTCACTTGCTCCTCTTCATCCTCCCTGCACAGTCGGAGCAGTCCTCTCCTCCTCCTCCATGGACTCTACAGGCTCTTTGGTCTCCTCCCCCGCCCCAGGAGCTCCTCACCTCAGCTGTGTTCGGAGACGAGGTCGTCCCCTTTGGTGCCACCTCGTCTTCTTTCTGTTCGGACGTTCAAATGATGAAGTCGAGAGAAGAAGCAACTGAAACTCCGACAGTTTTACTTTAAATTTTATTTGAACTCTTCGTGACTCGGACACGTTTTGGAACGGCTTCATCACCTCATGGGACTGGAGCGACTCTCAGCTACTACCACACCAAACTGTAGGTCAAACTCAACTCAGAGCTACAACCATGTCTGTTTGGTGGCAGCCATCTTGAATTAGGTTGACTTCATTCAGTTGAGGTTCATCCAACAAGTACAGAGAAACTCCATCCAATTGTACATGAGATATTTTGCTAACAGACTCAGAAACATTGGTGGCCATTTGCCTTTAATAATTGATGATTTTAAAAAGGGGCGGAAAAAAACTAGATCTGAGAATGTCCAGGACCTGAGGAGACCAGCTGTTGGAGTTTCTTGAGGACCTGAGGAGACCAGCTGTTGGAGGTTCTGGAGGACCTGAGGAGACCAGCTGTTGGAGGTTCTGGAGGTAATTTGTCCAATTCTGGTCTGTTGGAGGATTCCAGCTGTCCTTCAGTCCTGGACGGAGCAGATGTTGTTCTTAAACCTGCAGATGTTTTTCTGCATCTATGGATCTTTCCAGATGTGTCCGTTGCTCATTGCAGGAGGCACTAATGCACCCCCATACCATCAGGGAGGCAGCTGTTTGAACTTTGTGCTGATAACGAGCTGGACGGTTCCTCTTACTCTTTGTGACGTGTGTGGTTTCTGAACAGAACTTCAGATTTGGACCCGTCTGACCTCAGAACAGCTCTGGTCCAGAGACCGTTCTCCGACTGTCCTGTTGAAAATGAACCATTTATTACAAAACGCTCCTCCACTTGGTTTTTATTCATCCCTCTTATTTTTAAAGCTTTTTGTTGCCCGTAAAAGTAGCTAAATCACAGCTAAAGCTTCTTATTAGCAAAACCATAATTAAAAGCTAAAATTAGCATAACAGTGGCTAAATGCTAAAATACGTCATACCGTAGCTGAAAGCTGAAATTTACTGAAATAAAATGAACCTAAACGTGGCTAAAAGCTAAAATGAGCCGAATGCTTTGATTCATTAACAGCTGATGTCATTCAGAGTAGCTAAAAATGTGAAAATAAAACTCTCAACACAAAACAGCTGTCTGCCTGTCTGTCTGACTGACTGTATAAGACAGACAGACACTGTCAGTATCTGTCTGTCTCTCCAGTTGTTTCTCTCCGTCCAGATGAGTCC